GAAATGTTGTTGAGTGGTACAAGAACAATATATGAAATATGAAATGTTGTTTAGTGGTACAAGAACAATAAATCAAATATGAAATGTTGAGTGGTACAAGAACAATATATCAAATATGAAATGTTGTTGAGTGGTACAAGAACAATATATGAAATATGAAATGTTGTTGAGTGGTACAAGAACAATATATCAAATAAGAAATGTTGTTGAGTGGTACAAGAACAATATATCAAATATGAAATGTTGAGTGGTACAAGAACAATATATCAAATATGAAATGTTGTTGAGTGGTACAAGAACAATATATCAAATATGAAATGTTGTTGAGTGGTACAAGAACAATTATATCAAATATGAAATGTTGTTTAGTGGCACAAGAACAATATATGAAATATGAAATGTTGTTTAGTGGTACAAGAACAATATATCAAATATGAAATGTTGTTGAGTGGTACAAGAACAATATATCAAATATAAAATGTTGTTGAGTGGTACAAGAACAATATATGAAATATGAAATGTTGTTTAGTGGTACAAGAACAATATATCAAATATGAAATGTTGTTGAGTGGTACAAGAACAATATATCAAATATGAAATGTTGTTGAGTGGCACAAGAACAATATATCAAATATGAAATGTTGTTTAGTGGCACAAGAACAATATATGAAATTAAAATGTTGTTTAGTGGCACAAGAACAATAAATCAAATATGAAATGTTGTTGAGTGGTACAAGAACAATATATCAAATATGAAATGTTGAGTGTACAAGAACAATATATCAAATATGAAATTGTTGTTGAGTGGTACAAGAACAAATATATCAAATATGAAATGTTGTTGAGTTGTGGTACCAGAACAATATATGAAATATGAAATGTTGTTGAGTGGTACAATAACAATATATCAAATATGAAATGTTGTTTGAGTGGTACCAGAGAACAATATATGAAATATGAAATGTTGTTGAGTGGTACAAGAACAATATATGAAATATGAAATGTTGTTTAGTGGTACAAGAACAATATATCAAATATGAAATGTTGTTTAGTGGTACAAGAACAATATATGAAATATGAAATGTTGTTTAGTGGTACAAGAACAATATATCAAATATGAAATGTTGTTGAGTGGTACAAGAACAATATATCAAATATAAAATGTTGTTGAGTGGTACCAGAACAATATATGAAATATGAAATGTTGTTTAGTGGTACAAGAACAATATATGAAATATGAAATGTTGTTTAGTGGTACAAGAACAATATATGAAATATGAAATGTTGTTGAGTGGTACAAGAACAATATATCAAATATAAAATGTTGTTGAGTGGTACAAGAACAATATATCAAATATGAAATGTTGTTGAGTGGCACAAGAACAATATATCAAATATGAAATGTTGTTTAGTGGCACAAGAACAATATATGAAATATAAAATGTTGTTTAGTGGCACAAGAACAATAAATCAAATATGAAATGTTGTTGAGTGGTACAAGAACAATATATCAAATATGAAATGTTGAGTGGTACAAGAACAATATATCAAATATGAAATGTTGTTGAGTGGTACAAGAACAATATATCAAATATGAAATGTTGTTGAGTGGTACCAGAACAATATATGAAATATGAAATGTTGTTGAGTGGTACAATAACAATATATCAAATATGAAATGTTGTTTAGTGGCACAAGAACAATATATGAAATATGAAATGTTGTTTAGTGGCACAAGAACAATATATCAAATATGAAATGTTGTTGAGTGGTACCAGAACATAATATATGAAATATGAAATGTTGTTGAGTGGTACAATAACAATATATCAAATATGAAATGTTGTTGAGTGGTACCAGAACAATATATCAAATATGAAATGTTGTTGAGTGGTACCAGAACAATATATGAAATATGAAATGTTGTTGAGTGGTACAATAACAATATATGAAATATGAAATGTTGTTGAGTGGTACAATAACAATATATCAAATATGAAATGTTGTTGAGTGGTACCAGAAACAAATATATGAAATATGAAATGTTGTTGAGTGGTACAATAACAATATATCAAATATGAAATGTTGTTGAGTGGTACAATAACAATATATCAAATATGAAATGTTGTTGAGTGGTACAAGAACAATATATCAAATATGAAATGTTGTTGAGTGGTACAAGAACAATATATGAAATATGAAATGTTGTTTGAGTGGTACAAGAACAATATATCAAATATGAAATGTTGTTTAGTGGCACAAAGAACAATATATCAAATATAAATGTTTTTTTAGTGGGACAAAAAAAATAAAAATTGGGTTTAGTGAAAGTCAAAATTAAAATAATGAAATTTTTTTTGCAAAAAAAATATAAAGAAAAAATCTCCTTCTGAAAGATCCGTATGTTTTTAATTTAGGTTGTTACCACCTTAAGGAAGTTTTCATTGTATATATTTTTTGCTTATAAAAAAAATTTTAAAACCCCGAAGAAAATGTAAAGTATGATCAAATTTTGTAATCATTAAAAAATATGCATTCATTTCTTATTGAAAAATTTGACTTACACTTTATAGAAAATAAATTTCTAATCACCTCCCTTTATTTTCATGAAATGTTAATTTCGGTAATACGTATCTTTTTGGAACTTACAATATTGATAATCTTAATTTGAGCATCATATTTATGATATAAAACCATACAAAATTTGTGTTACAACATCTTTAACGGTACAAAATGTAATTAAGGATAATTTCATTAAATGATAGTTCAGATCCAATTCACTTAAGCCCGACTATAAATAAAGTTTATATGGATATCTTTCTGAAATATCTAGCACCATTTTTGATTAATGACATATAAAAAAAACTCCAGTCAAGTATTTGTCATTTGCATTTTTCCAATGACAATTCTGAATGGGCAGCTTTTCATAATAAAACCACTAATGTTGGCATTTCGTTTTGATTTGTAACTTTTATTTCAGGCAAAATTAATTTTATTGCACAGTAAGATACACAGAAAATGTTACATGTTTTTACAAACATTTATAAAGTGATAGTACCATCAGGGATGGACAGAACTCCTGTAGTTTTGACGCTGCCCGGGTGTGGAACAGCCTCCCTATAGTGACATCAGAAGAGTAGAAAACTTCAAAGAATTTGGGAGACTGGTCGACACCTGGACAGGTCCAAAATGTAAGTGTTCAATGTGGCGTTTGTAGCCTTTTGGTAAGTAAACACAATTTCTTTTGATTTGAACTTATTGTGAGTCAGGCGATGCACGTTGATGTTTATAAAATGTCTTGTATTGTTTGATTTTATTAACCTGTCAATTGCATACTGATTATACGGTCAATGCACACAATATCTTCGATAAATGTTCGGTAAATTTCGTGAGATGTGAGTAGTAAAAATGTGATTAAATTTTTTTTTTCAATCAAATAAAAACGAATTATAGACAATAGGGTAAACTCGTTTTTTAATTTCTAATGTTTTCCCCGTTTTAAGATCGAGACCCCGATCTCCCTTTTTTTTTCCCCTTTTTTATAATTTTTTAACATTTTTGAGGGGTATTTTTATTTTTTTTTTTTTTGTTTTTAATAGGTTTTGCTTTTATTTTAGTAAAGACTATACTCTTTTTAAATAACATACGAGTAGTTAAAGAATTTATAATTAAAATTCATTCGGATTAAAATCAATAAATGTCATTTCAGTGCCGTAAAATACAATACAAAACGAGACAACTCAGTGTTTCTAAGTTGTTTTATATCTGTGTAGATAACTTTTCAAGCACTTGGCCATTTTCATTAAAATATACTTCAAAAATAAAAAATGAAAAGGTCTTAAAAAAACAATGACAAAAGTAAGTATTGAACCACTGTCCTCTCATATATGAGGTAATCACTTAACCGACTGTGCTATTGCGGATGTGATGATCTCGAACATATACATTACACTAGTGTGAATTTTCCAAACATTAGTTATAATGTTTTAATTCTCACTATTAATTCTCGTAAGCTATACGGACAGAACCGAAGTGGAATCGAATATTTAAATTAGCGCTAAAATGTATTCATAATTGGCAGGTCAATAAAATCACACTATATATTTTTTTGCATTATGCAAGGTACGTTTTGTTTTGTTTTTGTTTTATTTTTTTAATATGTGCTTGTATGTGCTTATGTGTATAATCTTTTCAATTGTGCAATTTTATGCCTGTAAAATGCTTAGTGTTAACTTTCTTATTTGTATTATATGTGATAGTCCCATGCAGTTTCTTTGTTTTTATATACAAGTTTGTTTTTAGCCAATCTATAATACTTTTACAGGAATGTATATATGTATATGTATATCTTACTCTTTGTTTTATCTTGCTTGTTATTCTTGTAACTTATAAACATGAATTTTATTTATTACTATTATACATAAACATACAATTCTAAAAATAAATAGCATGTTTCATTTCTTAAATCCATGTACTCAGATGTGCTTATGCTTATAACTTTTAACTTTTTAACTGCTACCTTTGTTAATCCATTTACATATGTTTGTCGGAAAATAGCTCATGAGTTATAATGTATCCGACATAAAATAAATTTTCTTGTGTCTTGTTCGTTAATTAATACTTCGAATCCGAAGATATTATATGTACATTTATATATCATAATTAGAGCTAAACTAAATTTTGGAATCATGCCTCTTAACATTTTCAACACAACCCTAGCGCCCATTCTTTAGTATTCTCGTCGTTTTTCCCCTTTTTTCAGTAATTTGAATTTTCCTGGGTCAATGTTACGCACGGCGTAAGTGCCTATCGCTAGCTACGCCCGGGACGGCTATAGTGATGACATCGACATCTTCATATTTGAATTCGTAAGCTAAATTTTTAAAATATTTTGCTGTTCTATTTACTGACCGAAAGTATCTTCATCACCAATATAGTTAATATAGTAATTGCATAACATGATCACAATGGTCTTGAATTCGCATTTTTTATTATTTTCTATTAATTTCAAACATATTTTTCTTTAATGCATTCAATCGTACATGCTGTAATATAAGATTTTTGCTTATGTGTGAAGTAAACAGAACACCGGAAGTTGGCTTGTGACTCAACATACGGAAGAGATAATTTGATAAACACTACAAATTTTGGTAAATATTTTAGTTTCTAATTTAAGGATAGTAAAAACATGCAATGAATAAATTAATTACATGCATGATCTTAAATAGTCCGTAAAATGTGTGTACTGAACACGAAGGAGTAGATAAATCGATATAAATTATTTGTGCTACCCCACCCAAAAGCATTTTGACTTGTCTTTCCCCAATACTTTTAAAATTAAAACTGTTTAACATCTTAACAGGATGGGCTCATTACCCTATTCGGCTTTAACATTAATATTAAAATTTCTTGAAAGTCAATGAAGATAGGCCCATGAAGATATTTCTTCACACTTGCTATATTTTTAAGAATTACACATACGATTAAGCCTTTTTTTATTGTAGAAACGGGTTGTAATAGAATGCGAAATGGACTCCATTTCGCGAAATGAACTTACCGCCTACGAAATGGACATTTGTTTGTTTAACCGCGATGAGTAATATTATTTTTATTAATTTATGTTTAACCTTTGACATAAAACTACAGATTGAACAAATTAATATTACTTTTTTCCTATTTTATAGTCATATTTATGAAAATAATCTGGCATCTACGAAATGGAGTTTTCGGCCACGAAATGGAGTTTTCGCTTACGGAATGGACATTTGCTTTACAAATTATGGTGTAACTGACATGTCACAAAGGGTATCTTTTCTATTCACTTAAATTTAATCTGGGACGACAAAAATATTTTTGTCCCAGGTTAAACATATGATATATTACAGAATCTTTCTATTTGAAAGACCATGTATAAAGCACTTAACTATGTGGCATTATTATACGATTATTTTCAAATGTAGATCTACAAGCATAAATAATGAAAAAATATCACCAAAAATTAAATTGTTTAAATAGTAATTTTATGTCATATATCACTTGTTCGTTATTAAAAAAGATATTAAATGGTACACTTAAACCAAAATTTAAGAAACAAATGTCCATTTCGTAGTCGAAAAGTTCATTTCGCGAAATGGAGTCCATTTCGCATTCTATTACTACCGTTGTAGAAACAAATTTAGGAACACTTTTAGAATTTTTCCGCATCAAAATCCATATTTATAAATTCTTATTCCTAACTAAACTCTTCAACCAGTGCCAAAAACACTAACCCAAACCTTATCCATCAAAGTAATCTGAGTGATTTTGTATTGAAACGTAGATATTGAAGAATAATATTGGGTAAAATTATAATGTTAAAAATAGTTGCGGACAGATTCAAAAATCTAGCTGAAACATTGAAACAAGAATAAATTGATAACTTAGCTCTTATAGAAATATTTTCCTTTTTTTTAGATTTTCATGACACATAATCTTTGAAGTCCATAAGACTAGTCAAAATATATTGACGTGCCAAAGCTTGATTCTGAGATACTTTTCGTTCTGGGGCAGAATCTTGCTTTAACGTCAAAACCAAAAGGAGACCTTTCTGTGGTGAAACGTGGATTTCGACGTAAATGTGAAAATGCCGAGAATATAAACTAAGAATTTATTCAACAGTACAATTTTAAGGAATTAACAGCACAAAGTGCCAGCCTATAAACTTAAAAGAAAGTAAACCACGTTAGTTTCATTTCACTGTCTCATTTGTGTACCAATGTCGCCATATTGTGATGTTGCTACAGTAAGGCCATCCTTAAAAAAATGTTTGTTTGCAGTAACGCGACCGACTCACAAAATTTGCCCCTACTCAAAAGTTTTTTTCATGGTCTGGAAAAAAAAAATGTTTTTTGAATCAGAAAATTATGCCTTGTGCTTTGTTTTTGTTCTTTTAAAGGTTAATAGAAGAAATAAAATGTAGGTATTATTTAATTAGAATTCATTTATCAATTTATTAATTGTTACCAGATTATCAAAGCATAAATTGTCCAGCATTTTGAAATTCCATGTTTATTTGGGAGTACAGTTCAATAAAAAAAAAAAAAAATCGACCTACCTACCCACCTTGAAAATTCTGGGTCGGGTTACTGCAAACAAACATTTTTTTAAGGATGGCCTAATGTAACATGTACGCTAAAAATCGATATTGTTCGGTACCGTGCGTAAATGTTGTCTTTTTTCTTTTTGTGGCTAAAAAAATATGAAAAACTATTAAAAAGTGTTAATAACTTAATTATTATTTTTTAATGTTTTTATTATTAATTATATTTATTGCTACATTAAAATAAATCGCCAAGAAATAATCTTTAAATATTTTTCTAATTGATTGAAATCTTTGAAATGATACGGGAAAATTTTAATATAGTCCTCTTTTTTATACTTTTTTTACTTGATGTGTTTCGTCGTTTCTCAGTATCGCAGTACCAAATACACACCAGTGTAGTTATCAACAGAGTATTTGTCACGTGACATTAGCGACGATGTCTTTATTTTGATGGTGCATGTGTTTACTTTTCTATCAAAATCTTTATGTTAGGAATATTTTCACTAATAAAACATGAAATTGATGTAGAAATGAATAATCTTTAAAGTTATCGTAACAAATTTATTCAAATATGACTTCTAATACGATTTTATACGGTCCAAAGCTTGCGCTCAAAATCCTGGCGCAAATTTCACCACAGAAAAGGTACTTTTTATGTTGTACGTAGAGGCGAAATATTGTCACAACAGACACGAAAATAGCACAATATCTCGTCGCGCAGTACAATTAGTTGGACTATCCATAAGACATGTTGGACAAAAACAAACTTCATTGGCTTTCTTATGTTCTTAATTTTGTGCCAATATCATATGTGACAGTATTCTAAAGTTTCTGAACTTTGCAGACTTAGAACATCAAAGCGACATTGACTTCACATCGCTTTTGTACTTACTACAAGTAACATGTACAGGATCTTTACATATCTTACAAAGTTATTAGGCTTTCGGTTAAAAAAATAAAATAAAAATGGCTACAAATGTCATTGTTGAAAAAAAAAAACTTAAAATAATCCTCCCAAAAAAAACTAAAATAAATGGTGTAAGAACACACCAGGTTTAGCAATGATAAGTTATCAGGTGTACCAACATGAAAAATGTTATTTAACCTGACTGTCATGATTGGAGTTTGTAAGTACAACTGAACTTGATGCAACACATGAAAAGATGGGAAAAAGACACTTGTGTGTCCTGGCTCAATCATTTCTTGCATTGTTTACTTACGTGCTATATGGCTAATGTTAGTACTTAGTGTGTAGGCGGTCTATGAGAAAGACCTGAGGAATTTACCAACAGTGGGTCTGGGGTTAGGGTTAGAGTTTTCAGTGGTTCATAATGCAAACATCAGTGTTTCCGCTACTCTGTGTTTCTTGCATTTTTGACGCAATAATTTTAAGAATGACGCATTGGAAAAGGCAAAGCGCGTTTTCTATGACGCAGTGATAATCTGCCTTACATGTAATTAGATGCATTTTCATTAAGTTATTTCTCCTATTATTAGTGCCATTGTGTTAAAATAGGCAATTATTGTTTGAGTATCGAAATGGCCATTCCGAAATTTATTTATATCGGTAACTGAGGGTATGTATAAGTTGCTAACCTATTCTGTGTCGTTATCGGCACAACATTGAACCATTTTACAATCAGTCACGGTATCCGGGATTTAGACATGCACGGTCAGGGTGTAAACAAGCGATTTTTGCATGCAGACGATTTTCTTACAATGGCAAGCACACCACAAAAGATAGGGGCTTTAGTTAGTGACATAGATAACAATGTTATCTACATTTCTGCTTTAGTGGTCAAAAATATCAAAGTGCCTGCAATAAACAGACATATGGCAGGTTAAATGTTTTCATGCAAATAAGACTTGGTTCTTCCTTAAAAGATTTTTCGTTTGCTTCCGCAAAAAGTGAGAAATTGAAGTTAACATGTGAAATCAAACAGTTCTGAGATTTACTTTTGTAATTTTTACTTTTTTAAAATTTTACCCTTAATAATTTCAAATGACCCCCATATTTTTATACAGAGGGTCACAAAATGACCCCCAAAAAAATCTAGTCTGGCAGAAACACTGAAACATGATTATAATGTGGTTCCTTTAAATAATTAATTTTTGTCAGATTTATGATGAAAAATGCAGTAAACAATTTACTTTAATATATCTGTTTATAATGATATTTAATATTTATTTTCAGTGTTGTGAGTGTACCCAGTCAACATGGGTTCCTTGAACATAAAATGGGACCCAAAGAATTTGGAAATTAGGACAAAGTCAGTAGAGAAAACATTGGAGCCTCTTGTTACACAGGTGCAGCTTTTTTCTTAATATAACAAATTGACTATCTGTTCTAAAATTTAGTGTGTATGAATTTCATAAAGGTCCTGTTGGAATGTAGAGAAATTTTTATTTTTTTTACTTTATTTATTCTATTAGTCAACTATTTTTAGCTCACCTGTCACAAAGTGACAGGGTGAGCTTTTGTGATCGCTTTTCGTCCGGCGTCCGTCCGGCGTCCGTCCATCCGTCGTCCGTCCGTAAACTTTTGCTTTAAATGACATCTCCTCATAAACCACTGAGCCAATTTCATCCAAACTTCACAGGAATGTTCCTTTGGTGGTCACCTTTAAAAGTTGTTCAAAGAATTTAATTCCATGCAGAACTCTGGTTGCCATGGCAACCGAAAGAAAAATCTTTAAATATCTTCTTTTAAACAACCCTAAGAGCTAGAGCTTAGATATTTGGCATGAAACATCTTCTACTGAGTGTCTACCAAGTTTGTTCAAATAAAAGCCCTGGAGTCAAAATTGGCCCCGCCCCAGGGTCATTGATTTTCCCTATATGCATATAGTAAAAACTTAAAAATTCTTCTTTTAAAGAACCATAAGAGCTAGAGCTTAGATATTTGGCATGAAACCTCTTCTAGTGAATGTCTACCAAGTTTGTTCAAATAAAAGCCCTGGGGTCAAAATTGACCCCGCCCCAGGCAGAGCTGCATTACTGGTACTGGTACTGCAGTACGTACTGCAGCTATTTTGCAACTACTGGTACTGATACTGAATTACTCTTACAAAATTTTGCTACTACTGGTACTGGTACTGCATTACTGTCTTAAAAAGTGGTACTGCTACTGCATTACCCAGTACTTTTGGTTTTGATAAAATTAAAAATAACATCAATTTTTCTCATAAAATAAAGCTAAAAATAACATTAATTATATTTTATTTTTGTGAAAAAGTAAGTTATCAAATCTAAAGATAATTTGCTGCAATATTCCTTCAAATGTTAATATATTATTCATCATAAAAAGCACCAAAGACTTTAAGTAAAAATTAAATTAGGATAAACAGACTCAATAACTCTTTACCCTAAAATATCCTTATTAAAATCTTTTATTACTTTGTATTTACTAGTAAAAGAGCAAAATAAACACTTATTAATTTCTTCTATTCTAAAAAATCCCATTTCAAGTGAAAAAAAATGATATTGTAAGCACCATAAAAAGTTGTTATTTACTTTGGTATAAATTGAACAGAGGTGTGAAGGTGTGAAAGGCAACAAAAGACTGTTGTGTTTTAAATGAAAGATGTTTGCATTGTATTTATACTGTTGACTGGTTACTAAACAATTAGATATAACATGAATACATGTTGTAAATATTGTTTGTAAAAAGTATTTTAAAACTATAAACTGTAAATATGTTATGTTAACTTTAAAGCAGCATGCCTCCAGATTCATCCTAATTTTCATGAAAAATTTGAAAATGTATTTAAAGGTAAAATATTGTTAAATGAACAAAGAGAGTACTTGACACATTACAATTGGCACTTAAAATCCACGTAAATTACCAAAAAGAGGTCAAAACATGCATAAATTTATAGCCTCTACTGCGTTAGTAACGCAGTAGAAATATAGTGATAAAACTACAAAATACAGTCATTAATTGCACATAAGATATAAATTATCACTTGAATCTTTAATTTGTTTACTTTTCTCAAAGTTTTAGTAATTTTTTTCCAAGTTTAATTTTCCTGAAATATTTTGGGTCATCTGGAGGCATGCGGCTTTAAATTAAATTATGATTTTGTTTTTTTGCTGAATAATATTTGCAATTATTTGTTTGACACTGTATTTATTCAAACTTTGATGAATATATAAAAGTAATGGTACTGATACTTAATTACTTCACCAAAAAAAGTACTGGTACTGCAGTACAGAGCTAAAATCTAGTACTGGTACTGGTAATGGTACTGCATAATTTGCCAAGTACTGGTACTGGTACTGAAGTACTACACCCTTAGTACTGATGCAGCTCTGGCCCCAGGGGGTCATTGATTTTCCCTATATGCATATAGTAAAAACTTAAAAAATCTTCTTTTAAAGAACCGTAAGAGCTAGAGCTTAGATATTTGGCATGAAACATCTTCTAGTGAATGTCTACCAAGCTTGTTCAAATAAAAGCCCTGGGGTCAAAATTGGCCCCGCCCCAGGGGGTCATTGATTTTCCCTATATGCATATAGTAAAAACTTAAAAAATCTTCTTTTAAAGAACCCAAAGAGCTAGAGCTAAGATATTAAGCATGAAACATCTTCTAGTGAGTGTCTACCAAGTTTGTTCAAATTAAAGCCCTGGGGTCAAAATTGACCCCGCCCCGGGGGGTCATTGATTTTCCCTATATGCATATAGTAAAAACTTAAAAATTCTTCTTTTAAAGAACCATAAGAGCTAGAGCTTAGATATTTGGCATGAAACGTCTTCTAGTGAATGTCTACCAAGTTTGTTCAAATAAAAGCCCTGGGGTCAAAATTGACCCCGCCCCAGGGGGTCATAGATTTTCCCTATATGCATATAGTAAAAACTTAAAAAATCTTCTTTTAAAGAACCCAAAGAGCTAGAGCTAAGATATTTAGCATGAAACATCTTCTAATGAGTGTCTACCAAGTTTGTTCAAATAAAAGCCCTGGGGTCAAAATTTGCCCCGCCCCAAAAACTTAAAAAATCTTCTTTTAAAGAACTCAAAGAGCTAGAGCTAAGATATTTAGCATGAAACATGTTTTAATGGGTGTCTACCAAGTATGTTCAAATAAAAGCCCTGGGGTCAAAACTGGCCCCGCCCGGTGGGGTCATTGATTTCCCTTATATGTGTATAGCAAAAACTTAAAAATCTTCTTTGAAAAAACCCAAATAGCTAGAGTTTAGATATTAAGCATGAAACATCTTTAAGTAAATATCTACAAAGTTTGTTCAAATGAAAGCCCGGGGGTCAAAACTGGCCCTTCCCCAGGGGTGTCATTGTTTTTAACTATATGTGTATAGTAAAAACTTTAAAAATCTTCTTTTAAAAAACCCAATGAGCTAGAACTTAGATGTTTAGCATGAAACATCTTCTTATGGGTGTCTACCAAGTCTGTTCAAATAAACAAATAAAAGCCCTTGGGTAAAAATTGGGGTGGGGGGGCCTATATACAGGTGAGCGACCTCAGGGCCATCATGGCCCTCTTGTTTTTTAATTCTCTGCAAAGATTGTGTTGCTTTGTTTGCTCTGGTAGTAAAAATGTTCTGTTGTGGTCACAGGTAACCACTTTAGTCAACCAGAAAGGACCATCAAACAAGAAAAAAGGAAGATCAAAGAAGGGTCATGTTCTTGCTGCAGCTGTACAGAAGGCTACCCTTAACTTTGTAGAAAAAGGAGAGGAGATTGCGAGAGAAAACCCTGATGTTAAGGAAGACATGTTGGCAGCAGTTGATGAAGTCAGAAAAACAGGTATGATATAACAGGTGTTTGTTTCCAGGATTTTCAGCGATGTTTTGTTAAACATTGGGGAAAAAAACAGGATTTTAATTTTGCAGTGATTAAATGAATGCAAAGAATCAATGTCTAGGATGGCATCTTCCAACATTTAAGCACCATAACAGTGAAGAAGCTCTTATTTTCAAAGATTTTAGAATTTGTTATTCAATAGTTTTATTTTGTAACTTTCAATTGGGAATTTTTTCCTATGGATTGGGAAAATAATGTACTCAATGGGGAATATGATTGAATATCGGCTATAAAATAAACAAAAAAAATCCCTGTATATATTGATCATGTTTTGTTATTGTTATATTTTTACTCTCGCCCCTCCATCTCAAATGTTCTAAAAAAGAAGAAAATTTTTTTACAGGAGCTACACTGAGGTACAAAATTTTAACTACATAAAATTAAAATTTTTACATATAGGAACTTTGATTGCCATGGCAAATATGAACTTGTAATTAATAGATAATACAGAAATATACAAATCATATTTTTGTGTGCAATTCTTAGCGCAATGTAAACAGAAAGCTTTTAAACACTTTGTTTTTGGGTCATTTTTCACATGAATGGTTATTCTGAAAATAATAGTGAGTGAATGATATGAAATTTGCAGAATAATATGAAATTTTGCAAGTGATAAGTCCAGACCAGTGACAAAGGGTACATAAAGCTTGAAAAAATATTCCCAAGTCAGAATACTTGAGTGGAATCCCTTTAAAGGCTTGAGCATATTTTGGTGAATTGTTATGTATCAAACTGAAGTCAGTGGACAATTTTGTGTTAGTGGATTTTTGATGGAGTAAGTTCTGTTTAAAATTGTCATAAGTTTAATTTTGGTGAACAAAAGGAAAAGTTTTAGCATGCTATTAGTTTATTTCGTCAGATTTTCCCATAATTTTTGGGGTAAATACTGATACATGTATATGTTGTATGTTATGTAAGCATCAAACTTTTGTGCAATCCTGGTTTATTACAAAGTCTAGTTTATGATTACCTTATATATTTGTACTATTTATATATTACTATTAAGGAGAAGCCATGGGGCAAGCAATATATTTGTACTATTTATATATTACTATTAAGGAGAAGCCATGGGACAAGCAATATATTTGTACTATTTATATATTACTATTAAGGAGAAGCCATGGGGCAAGCAATATATTTGTACTATTTATATATTACTATTAAGGAGAAGCCATGGGGCAAGCATCAGAAGAGTTTGCAGCAGATCCATGTTCATCTATGAAGAGAGGGGCAATGGTGCGTGCAGCACGTGCTCTCTTATCTGCTGTAACTAGACTGCTTATCTTAGCTGATATGGTAGATGTCCATCTACTGCTAAAATCTCTCCGAGTGGTGAGTATAGTAAACTTAATGTACCAATCTAGTCATAATATATGATGACCAGATTTGATTACACATTTGTACAATTTAGAATTTGAAAAACAAGAAAAGGGGTGTCGGTGGTGGAGTTGTTAAAGTCATTGACTTCAATCCACTTTCCCCATTACTGCTGTGATTTCCAATCTTGACAGGAACTTTAGAGTCATGTGAGGTCACAGTGATGAATATGGATGGTTCTACTTCAGTGCCTGAAATAATGCACAAAAGGGCACCTGAGGTCTTCCACCACCAAGAAAGTTATTTCTTTTTAAAATAATAATATTATTTATTAAATTGAATGAAATAAGTAATACTTAACTTTATTAGTATTGTTGTAGACTTTCTCTAAAAAAAGAATCTGAAATTGGTCTACCTTGCCCCAGTCCCCAATATAGTAATTACTAATTAGGGTCCTCGTATAGCTGGAGAAACCATATTGGACAAGTGATATACATATAAGACAAGTGATAGACATATTAGAAAAGTGATATACATATAAGACAAGTAATATACATATTAGACAAGTGATATACATATAAGACAAGTGATATACATATTAGACAAGTGATATACATATAAGACAAGTGATATACATATTAGACAAGTGATATACATATAAGACAAGTGATATACATATAAGACAAGTGATATACATATTAGACAAGTGATATACATATTAGACAAGTGATATACATATTAGACAAGTGATATACATATTAGACAAGTGATATACATATTAGACAAGTGATATACATATTGGACAAGTGATATACATATTAGACAAGTGATATACATAATAGACAAGTGATATACATATTACCATATTGCAGGTGGAGAATGATTTAGATCGTATTCGTAATGCGTCTAGTCAGCAAGAATTGATGGACAGCTTTAAGGAGTTTGGGAAGAGTGTTGTAGAGCTGTCAGAGAGAGCAGCACAGAGACAAGCAGATCTAAAGGTTAGTTAGACAGATGTATTAGTAATTAAAGACAATTTCTGCAATCACTTGAGAACAATGAAAACAAAAACTTAAGAAAAACAGACTTTGTTTTATAGATTCTGTTTATAAGAATTCAAATTCAAAAGTTTATTGTATAATCAGGCCACCAGCCCATACACATATTACATAATACTTATAATGTTACAGTCATGAGAGGCAATAACATTTGTTTTGTCAAGAAAACAGAACAATACACAAAATTATTTCAAACAATTTATAATACAAAGTCAATATAATAATATTCTAGTCTATATTCTTTCTTTTGTAGCAAAATACAAATACATAGCAAGTTCTCTAATGACTTTAACATTTTGATAAGACATTAAATTATAAAACATTAGTACATTTGGAGTCTGAATATATACAGAAGGTATGTATTTAATCCTTAAGTCATTGTAAAGAGGACAACAAAATTGTACAAAACCTGAGAAATATAACAGCATTTACATGATACTTGGGCCAAATTGCAGCTGCAATACAGCTGTTCTTGTTTGTTAAGTGTTTTAACTTGTCTATTAGTACTAAGTTTGTTGAGTGTATTAAACTTGTATTGTAAAAAATAGTAAGTGCCTTCTGTTTAACTAAAAATGGAAACCTGATAGGTTTATATTCGTACTCTATGAATGTGTAATAGTGAATGCTGAAATTGTCTTCATGTTAATCCTATATATGTCAATACTATAGAAAAGACGGAAGTTGTCTTTAATTACTCTTACATATGTGAATACAAAGTAAAGATTACATATGTGAATACAAAGTAAAGATTACATATGTGAATACAAAGTAAAGATTACATATTTGAATACAAAGTAAAAACTGAAGTTGTCTCTAATTACAATTAAATTTGTGAATACAAAAGTAATGGTTTTCATTGATTTATAAAGAAAACAGCCAAGTCGTACTAATCAAGGCAGACAAACTGTTCAGGTTAAATGGAGTAAGATAAAACACTTTGCAACTTGACACAAAACTGTAACAAGATGAGTAAAATATCATAGCTAGATAAAATATCTGCTCTGTTTGTTTTAGGATCCTAGGAGACGTGATGACCTTGCAGCGTCCAGGGCAACATTAAAGAAGAGCAGCATGATGTTGTTAACAGCATCAAAAGCGTATGTTCGACACCCGGAGCTGGCGGCTGCTAGAGCAAACAGAGACTGGGCTTATGAGCAGTTGTGTGATGCTGTCAACACTATATCAGGTGTTGCCCAGGCAACCGGGCAGTCAAGTGCTCATCCATATGAAGGTGCTGGAGAACTTGCTGCAGCTCTTGATGAACTCATGGTATGTTTTAATTGTTAGTCTTTGCTTGATGAACTCATGGTATGTTTTAATTGTTAGTCTTTGCTTGACTTCATTCTAAGTCTTCATCCCTTAGGAACATAGAAAACCTTATGTATCGGGGGGAAGAATGTATTTGACTGTTGTTATTAATATTGATATAATGGACACTGTTGTCATGTGGTATTCTTGGCATAATTTTTGACAAGAACATTCAAATCAATATGTCTGCCTTAGTGCTTGTGGAAAGTTTGTACTAGAAGAATAAAGTTGAAATAGTAACAATATATAGAATTATCTGTCCATTTATGGGTAAAAAGTACTTTATGGCTTTAAGAATACCTGAAATCACTGTAGGTAGCTATTTGGAAATACATTTATATATACTGGTAATAATCTGTTAGGGTGTATTACTGAAGTAGTTGTTTTGTTTTGTTTGGTTACAGCAAAAAGTGATAATGGATCCACTAACATATAACGAGGTACGTATGAGGCCGTCCCTCGAGGAGAGATTAGAGAGTATTATCAGTGGTGCCGCATTAATGGCAGACTCAGCGTGCACGAGGGAGGATAGACGGGAGAGGATCGTACAGGAGTGTAACGCTGTCAGACAAGCACTACAAGATCTCCTTACAGAATACATGAATAATGTGAGTAACTTACCTTCCCCCAATAATATATAATACTTGTGTGACATTTATCAGTGATGTCAAAAACCGACATAACTTCTTCTTTAAATTTAATGATTTATCAAAGTGCTTTAATGATAACTTGACAGTTATGTTGTAACAGAAATTTTCTTTGTATTGTTATAAAAAATTAAATTTTCACATTTGAATGATTCTTTGAAGATATTTTAGATGGCTTTTTATATTTAAGTGTCGACCAAAGTTTCCTATAAGGAAAACTCGATTTAAGGTAACCAGTTGTTATAAGACATGCATCTTTCAATCTAGCATGAATGTTATGTTAGGATATGTTTCACATCATTTGTTCCCTGTTTGATGATTGGTATGTTAGGATATGTTTCACATCATTTGTTACCTGTTTGATGATTGGTATGTTAGGATATGTTTCACATCATTTGTTACCTGTTTGATGATTGGTATGTTAGGATATGTTTCACATCATTTGTTCCCTGTTTGATGATTGGTATGTTAGGATATGTTTCTCATCATTTGTTACCTGTTTGATGATTGGTATGTTAGGATATGTTTCCCATCATTTGTTACCTGTTTTGATGATTGGTATGTTAGGATATGTTTCACATCATTTGTTACCTGTTTGATGATTGGTATGTTAGGATATGTTTCACATCATTTGTTACCTGTTTGATGATTGGTATGTTAGGATATGTTTCCCATCATTTGTTACCTGTTTGATGATTGGTATGTTAGGATATGTTTCACATCATTTGTTACCTGTTTGATGATTGGTATGTTAGGATATGTTTCACATCATTTGTTACCTGTTTGTTTCTCATTGGTTACTATATGTTAAGCTTCTTGCAGTTCTTTAAACCACTTTTAAATATAAGATCCGGACAAAAGGAACTTCCTGTTTATTTAGCCTTGAAATAGGACCTGTCCATTTTGCTATGAAATTGGTCCTGTCCATTTTGCTATGAAATAGGACCTGTCCATTTTGCTATATGAAATAGGTCCTGTCCATTTTGCTATGAAATAGGTCCTGTTTATTTAGCCTTGAAATTGGACCTCTCCATTTTGCTATGAAATTGGTCCTGTTTATTTAGCCTTGAAATTGGACCTGTCCATTTTGCTATGAAATTGGTCCTGTTTATTTAGCCTTGAAATAGGACCTGTCCATTTTGCTATGAAATTGGTCCTGTTTATTTAGCCTTGAAATTGGACCTGTCCATTTTGCTATGAAATTGGTCCTGTTTATTTAGCCTTGAAATTGGACCTGTCCATTTTGCTATGAAATTGGTCCTGTTTATTTAGCCTTGAAATTGGACCTGTCCATTTTCATTTTTAGGACCTTCAATGTCAGAATCTAAAATCGAGCAGCCAACATTGTGTATTCTGGTTAGACTTCATAAATGTTCAGGCTGGCAAAGAAATCTTAAGGCTAACTTACCTGATTAAAGTATTCAAATACTTTAGTTATCATATTGAAAAAAGTGAATACTTTTATTGTATGAACTGACATGCAGGACTTGGTATTGATTTTCAAAGTTTTGATGTAAATTACATGTTCATTTGTAATAACAACTACATTATTTATGTCATGTCAGTTTATCATGTTGCATGTATTATGGTCATCAGTTGTGTTACATAAAAAATTGTTAGAAGCAGACCAGTGAACTAAAATTTAATGAAACATTTTCATTTGTGTTCCCCCTGTATCATTTTCATTGCATATCAAATAACACAATGAGAGAGGGTCAGATCACGTGATATTTTAATTTGTTGAAATGTTGATTGTTGTTCAATGAGTCAGTGTAACACTAATTCAGTTAAAATGTAATGTATGCATGTAATTGAAATATGAGAAATAGTGAGTCATTATTTAACAATAAACAATCATACATGTTGTATGTATAGGTAGATGAAAATGTTGGAATCATGCAAAGTTAATCAGGCATGAGTTACTAACATGAAATCAAACGTTAAAATGTGTTCATTAGGGTAGTCACTGTTTACTGAATCTACATGCCATAGTTTATCTACAAGGTGATAATCTGTAGGATGATATTTGATTTACCAGTAATACAGTCATATATGATTAGTTACAGTGATTTACCAGTAATACAGTCATATATGATTAGTTACAGTGATTTAACAGTAATACAGTCATATATGATTAGTTACAGTGATTTACCAGTAATACAGTCATATATGATTAGTTACAGTGATTTAACAGTAATACAGTCATATATGATTAGTTACAGTGATTTACCAGTAATACAGTCATATATGATTAGTTACAGTGATTACCAGTAATACAGTCATATATGATTAGTTACAGTGATTTACCAGTAATACAGTCATATATGATTAGTTACAGTGATTTACCAGTAATACAGTCATATATGATTAGTTACAGTGATTTACCAGTAATACAGTCATATATGATTAGTTACAGTGATTTAACAGTAATACAGTCATATATGATTAGTTACAGTGATTTACCAGTAATACAGTCATATATGATTAGTTACAGTGATTTACCAGTAATACAGTCATATATGATTAGTTACAGTGATTACCAGTAATACAGTCATATATGATTAGTTACAGTGATTTACCAGTAATACAGTCATATATGATTAGTTACAGTGATTTACCAGTAATACAGTCATATATGATTAGTTACAGTGATTTACCAGTAATACAGTCATATATGATTAGTTACAGTGATTACCAGTAATACAGTCATATATGATTACTTACAGTGATTTACCAGTAATACAGTCATATATGATTAGTTACAGTGATTTACCAGTAATACAGTCATATATGATTAGTTACAGTGATTTACCAGTAATACAGTCATATATGATTACTTACAGTGATTTACCAGTAATACAGTCATATATGATTACTTACAGTGATTTACCAGTAATACAGTCATATATGATTACTTACAGTGATTTACCAGTAATACAGTCATATATGATTAGTTACAGTGATTTACCAGTAATACAGTCATATATGATTAGTTACAGTGATTTACCAGTAATACAGTCATATATGATTAGTTACAGTGATTTACCAGTAATACAGTCATATATGATTAGTTACAGTGATTTACCAGTAATACAGTCATATATGATTAGTTACAGTGATTTACCAGTAATACAGTCATATATGATTAGTTACAGTGATTTAACAGTAATACAGTCATATATGATTAGTTACAGTGATTTAACAGTAATACAGTCATATATGATTAGTTACAGTGATTTACCAGTAATACAGTCATATATGATTAGTTACAGTGATTTTGACATGTTGTTATATAGCATTATATACAGGGTTGTGTATTTATAAAGTTGCAAGCAATAGTTTATATAGAGCCAAATAACCTGTCTAGAATATTCATAACAAAATTATAATACAGCAAACTTCCTTTTTTTGAGAAAAAATATAAATAATTTATAAATTGACAGCAGTTGTGTAGAATAGATTTTGTTAATATTAATTAAAGCGACATTACAATATGTGCAGATCTGTTCACCAGTCTTAATTTGTATAAACTATTGCAAAAGACTTGCTGTAAGTTAAAAACAGATAATTGTGGGTTTAACAGATTTCAATATGAAAATACTAGGAGCAATCGGTATAGATTTGATCAGTCTTTATGGACTGGCATGCTGACATTGGTCTATACTGGTGTCTAAGTCAAGTTATATTTACCATTGGCATGTATATGGTAAACTACTGTATCTGATCTATCATCTAGCATAAGTAAGCCAGTAATACTACAGGATTGTACATGTATTATAGTGGAAAAATGTATTTTAGTAATTAATACTGAATAACTGATTGAAAAATGAAAATAAAATATTCAGATTCTGTGAAATTATGTAAATAATTATTATGATAATCTTAGGAAATTGTAAGTAAGGGTCTGGTTATAAATGCTGATTGCCCTGAAAAGGTAATTTTCTTAAGTTGAACATGGTTTACCTATTGTTAACATAGACAAACTGTAACTACAGAATGATGTGACCATTTTGCAAGGATTTTTAGTAATTGTTTTAGCTATTATGTTACAATAAAACTACAGTGATACTCCATATTTTAACATTTTATGACTCTGACTGTCGCTGTTTTGATCCTTTTGCTCTCACATTGATTTAAATGGTCATTTGTCAGTCGGCCCTGATGCAGTTATCATGTGGGATTAGTAGTTAGTCCCTTAGTTAGAAGGGATGTCTGTAATCTGGTGTTTAAGGTCCTCACCACTGTGAGGAAGTTATCCTGCTACCTTCTGGAAAGTCAGTGGTTCTAATCAAGTGACCATTTATGCCTGAAATAATATATGGAGGGGTACCCGAGGTCTTACTCCACTAATAAAGCAGGAATGTCACCATATGTCTCATACTATAATGATATATGGAGGGGTACCCGAGGTCTTACTCCACTAGTAAAGCGGGAATGTCACCATATGTCTCGTACTATAATGACATATGGAGGGGTACCCGAGGTCTTACTCCACTAATAAAGCAGGAATGTCACCATATGTCTCGTACTATAATGACATATGGAGTGGTACCCGAGGTCTTACTCCACTAGTAAAGCAGGAATGTCACCATATGTCTCATACTATAATGATATATAGAGGGGTACCAGAGGTCTTACTCCACTAGTAAAGCAGGAATGTCACCATATGTCTCATACTATAATGATATATGGAGTGGTACCCGAGGTCTTACTCCACTAGTAAAGCGGGAATGTCACCATATGTCTCGTACTATAATGATATATGGAGGGGTACCCGAGGTCTTACTCCACTAGTAAAGCAGGAATGTCACCATATGTCTCATACTATAATGATATATAGAGGGGTACCCGAGGTCTTACTCCACTAGTAAAGCGGGAATGTCACCATATGTCTCATACTATAATGATATATAGAGGGGTACCCGAGGTCTTACTCCACTAGTAAAGCGGGAATGTCACCATATGTCTCGTACTATAATGATATATGGAGGGTACCCGAGGTCTTACTCCACTAGTAAAGCGGGAATGTCACCATATGTCTCATACTATAATGATATATGGAGTGGTACCCGAGGTCTTACTCCACTAGTAAAGCGGGAATGTCACCATATGTCTCATACTATAATGATATATAGAGGGGTACCCGAGGTCTTACTCCACTAGTAAAGCGGGAATGTCACCATATGTCTCGTACTATAATGATTATATGGAGGGGTACCCGAGGTCATACTCCACTAATAAAGCAGGAATGTCACCATATGTCTCGTACTATAATGACATATGGAGTGGTACCCGAGGTCATACTCCACTAATAAAGCAGGAATGTCACCATATGTCTCATACTATAATGATATATAGAGGGGTACCCGAGGTCTTACTCCACTAGTAAAGCGGGAATGTCACCATATGTCTCGTACTATAATGATATATGGAGGGGTACCCGAGGTCTTACTCCACTAGTAAAGCAGGAATGTCACCATATGTCTCATACTATAATGATATATAGAGGGGTACCCGAGGTCCTACTCCACTAGTAAAGCGGGAATGTCACCATATGTCTCATACTATAATGATATATAGAGGGGTACCCGAGGTCATACTCCACTAGTAAAGCTGTAATGTCACCATATGTCTCGTACAGGGTTGATGCAATGTAAACTCTTCATCATCATATGTATACATTATGTATAATTATTGCTAGTAATTAGAGAATTTAGAGACTTATATTTAATTTGACATTATATAATTTAGGCTGGTAGAGCAGAACCGAGTGAAGCACTGGACAGGGCTATAGACAATATGCAAAAGAAGACCAAGGATTTAAGAAGACAGGTAGATATTACCTTTAAACTTTTATTTATCAGTGTACCTTGTAAGATTTCACACATTAAATATCATTTCTAATCATATTATTATAGAATGTCAAATTTTCTCATAGTTCGCAAAGTTCTTATTTTTTTACAACAAATTGTTTGATTTTATTTTAATGATGTAAAGAATTTTTGTAAAACATCAAATAATTTGAGATTACTTTTTTATCAACCTAAAATTGACACATGTTACATTTGAAATGTTTCTATTTTTAGTTACGTAAAGCAGTAGTTGATCATGTCTCGGATTCCTTCCTGGAAACAAATGTTCCTCTACTTGTACTGATAGAAGCTGCTAAAGCTGGAGATGAGAAAGGTGTAGAGGAATATGCCCAGGTGTTTGCTGACCATGCTAATAAACTTGTAGAGGTAAATTATCTCCCCTTATTATGTTGTAACTTGTAGAGGTAAATTATCTCCCCTTATTATGTTCTAACTTGTAGAGGTAAATTATCTCCCCTTATTATGTTCTAACTTGTAGAGGTAAATTATCTCCCCTTATTATGTTCTAACTTGTAGAGGTAAATTATCTCCCCTTATTATGTTCTAACTTGTAGAGGTAAATTATCTCCCCTTATTATGTTCTAACTTGTATGTTCAAATTCATCTGTGTAATAAGCTTAAACAATGCTATTGTGGTTTTAGTTATAGAAGTAAATCAGTTTGTTTATGAATTTCTTTATTCAGAAAATGAGTCATTTATTTATTAGCTTTAACGCACAGATTTTACATTTCATAAATGGAAAATTTTGCAGGTTACATACATCATTATAGACTGTTCATTTTTTTTTAATACTTTTCAACATTTAGTTTTTACTCATGTCTGTAATGATTCGTCCTCACTGAATTTTTTGCGCTTTAAATATTAAGTATGTTTGGCTATTTAAACCATTTCTATAAATAAGTAGAAATCTTTATATTATAGTTATAACGTAAAATCGTTTAAATGGTATTCATAGAGTGTTTGATATAATATTAATATTAACGAATTAAGCTAAAAATGTATGTATGTTTACAGTTACCCATCTGGCTGTTCAATGTCGCAGTCATGAATTAGAGAGGTGCTCACACATGGTAGATAGCAGCGTGTTTCTATGAATTGGATAAACTTTGTCGGGGAAGGTTTGTTCATTGCTTGTACAAAAATATAACAGTTTTGACTCTGCTCTAGAGGAAAAGCTTAGTTTTAAATTAGTATTTTCATGATAAATGTGTCTCCAGTATCTAAGAGTATGATTACTTATCCTTTGTCTGAAGGTTTTTGTCTCCATTTATCTATTCACTTTATTTAAGTCTGGTTGTATGAAGGCCTCAGAGTCTTACAAAATACTAATGTACATATTTATTAGAATGTATATAGATAGAATTTTTGGAATCCTTTTAAACATTTATATTAGACAAAATATAAAAATCAGAAATTGAGAGATACGTTTAGTTGTAGAACTTAACAATAATTAATATATATATGTAGGTTATTAATAGTTAGTCTATAGAGTGTGGTCAGCACCAGATCCGAGGTCAATTTATTGGCTCGCCCAGCTGTTTTGACCGTGTTGATGTGTTATAAGGAAATGCGTGGTTGAGAAATCGGGGTTGACCCTTTGGGCTGACAGATGCTTTGTAGATGAAATAAAACACCATATAAGAATGAACTTCTTTAGCTGTCTCAGTAGACTGATGTGTTAAAAGAAAAACATAGTAATTATGTTCAAATTTTTGCCATCAGGTGTCTTACACATTATCTATGAGTCCCATATGAAACTCTTTTACAGAATTTGCTTGATTTTATATTGCAAAGCAAAGACAATTCACTTGGAATGAAAACCATGTTTCTCGCCGTTATAGTTTGGGCTGTTCAAAACTTTCAACATTACTGGGTTAAAAATGGTGTATTATATATATATTAAAGAAGATACGCATAAAGGTTCAACTTGGTATTTGAAAAAGAACAGTCAATATATTTAAGCCACTGTGGTCTTGTCATATTTGACTTTTGGCTGATTGAAACTGAACAATGTGAATGATGTTTGTAAAACCCTGTTGCCTATACCACTATTTGTATGTTGAGAGAATTTAAATTGGGATATGGGATATATATGGAAGCTGCTAGATTATAAAGAAATTCATAACGTTTAGGGTTATATATTTATCTTAATTGTTCTTTGAAGTTTCTCTCATTATTTAGAAGTCTTACTGTAAAATAACCTTACTAAAATGTTTAATTCAGGAGGATTTCACTATGGATGTTATATAATTTAACCTTTATTGGAACAAAAACCTATTATTAATGTATAGAAATTATTATTTGATATGTTTCACAGTTTCTCGCCAGCAAATATTTATTGGTATATTAATTTTATATATTTTAGAGAGTCATATATTGGAGGATGTGAATCGCTGCGTGTTTGCTCTACAAGAGGGTGATGCTGACACGTTAGATCGTACAGCAGGAGCTATACGAGGTCGTTCAGCACGTGTTTGTAATGTTGTATCAGCTGAGATGGACAATTATGAACCAGGACCATACACTGATAGAGTCATGGAAGCTGTTATATTACTGAGGGACCAAGGTATTTTATTTTCTACACAGCAAACAGTGTTGAATGGACTATTGTTGGCTTGTTACGGTTAACTTATCAAGCTAAAATCGCTTATTTTATTTCAACATTTTACTAAGAGAGTTGAACATTTGGTGAAATAGTAACAAACCTATGTAATCAGTTAAGAGCCTGGCCATACAGTCTGAAGAGACTTTTATTGTTGATTATTCAGTTTTTAGCATGTCATGTGTTTATTTTAAAATGAAAAGAGGTTAGTTTCAGATTTAAAGCAGTACAGTTTACAGATTGAAACAGTATCGAGAATTTTTTAAAAGCATTTTGTTGTATTGGGAGCAAATGATTTAAAGAACCATATAGCTTATGTATCTATTTTATATGTGTTTTGAATTAAGATGTAAATGCAAGAAATTTTACTTGTATTTATTATTTCAGTGATGCCGAACTTTGCGGAGAAGGTAGAGATTGCTGTAGACTGTCTCTCACAGAATATGCCAGATAGAATAGATGAGAATGAATTTATAGATGCCAGTAGACTGGTATATGATGGTGTTAGAGATATCAGACAGGCTGTGCTCATGAACAGGGTACGTAATTCTGTGTAACATTAAGTGTTGATCTCACTAGTTATACTATAACTTATCTTACATTAAGTATTGATCTCACTAGTTATACTATAACTTACCTTACATAAAGTGTTGATCTCACTAGTTATACTATAACTTACCTTACATTAAGTGTTGATCTCACTAGTTATACTATAACTTATCCTACATAAAGTGTTGATCTCACTAGTTATACTATAACTTACCTTACATTAAGTGTTGATCTCACTAGTTATACTTTAACTTACCTTACATTAAGTGTTGATCTCACTAGTTATACTATAACTTACCTTACATTAAGTGTTGATCTCACTAGTTATACTATAACTTATCTTACATAAAGTGTTGATCTCACTAGTTATTTATGTTGATCTCACTAGTTATACTATAACTTATCTTACATTAAGTGTTGATCTCACTAGTTATACTATAACTTATCTTACATTAAGTGTTGATCTCACTAGTTATACTATAACTTATCTTACATAAAGTGTTGATCTCACTAGTTATACTATAACTTATCTTACATAAAGTGTTGATCTCACTAGTTATACTATAACTTACCTTACATTAAGTGTTGATCTCACTAGTTATACTTTAACTTACCTTACATTAAGTGTTGATCTCACTAGTTATACTATAACTTACCTTACATAAAGTGTTGATCTCACTAGTTATACTATAACTTATCTTACATAAAGTGTTGATCTCACTAGTTATACTTTAACTTATCTTACATTAAGTGTTGATCTCACTAGTTATACTATAACTTACCTTACATAAAGTGTTGATCTCACTAGTTATACTATAACTTACCTTACATAAAGTGTTGATCTCACTAGTTATACTATAACTTACCTTACATTAAGTGTTGATCTCACTAGTTATACTATAACTTATCTTACATTAAGTATTGATCTCACTAGTTATACTATAACTTACCTTACATAAAGTGTTGATCTCACTAGTTATACTATAACTTACCTTACATTAAGTGTTGATCTCACTAGTTATACTATAACTTATCTTACATTAAGTGTTGATCTCACTAGTTATACTATAACTTACCTTACATAAAGTGTTGATCTCACTAGTTATACTAATAACTTACCTTACATAAAGTGTTGATCTCACTAGTTATACTATAACTTATCTTACATAAAGTGTTGATCTCACTAGTTATACTTTAACTTACCTTACATTAAGTGTTGATCTCACTAGTTATACTATAACTTACCTTACATTAAGTGTTGATCTCACTAGTTATACTATAACTTATCTTACATAAAGTGTTGATCTCACTAGTTATTTATGTTGATCTCACTAGTTATACTATAACTTATCTTACATAAAGTGTTGATCTCACTAGTTATACTTTAACTTACCTTAAAGGTACAATACATCTCACAAACAAACTTTTACCACTAAAGAAAGGGGAAACATGAGTTTTTTAAGGTTTAAATAATGTTTTTTAGAGAATGTTGGATGCTTGTTACATGAAGAAGGTACGATAAATGTGAAATAATTTATTATTAAAGTAGCAAAATGTAAACAAAGTAGTATTTTGACTTCATTCACTATAACTGTATTTATTTAAAAAAAAAAATGAAAAAAAGATGGTTCAGTAATTTTTCAATGATTTATAAAATAAAATTTTTAGAATTTTAAAAAATGTTTGGAATACAATACAGAGTAGGCTAGAAGTGATAATCTTCAGGTCAGTTTAAATAGGAGTTCAGTCCCTTTTTTTGATGGGGTTAATGTGAATTTACATTTATTGCACATGCTTATGTTTGGTGGGCCAGTTACAGTTTTGATTTTCTTCGACCACAGGCTGCAAATTTATAAGTGGTCTTTTGACACTTGTAACCTGTTGAAATAATGGTGGAATGTTTTCCTATTTAAAGTACGAAGTGTATTAACTAATGTTATTGTATATTACAGACACCAGAAGAATTAGATACAGACACTGATCTAGAAGATGAAGCTGACCATTATGATACCAGAAGTAGATGTAAGATTTTATATATTAAATTTAGAGGATATTTGTTTAGTTCAGTGTAAGATAAGAATATATTTCACCGAATGAGAACAAAAAGGTATATTTTACAAGTGGCGCAGTCGCAAGTGAAATATGACTTTTTGGTGTTCACAAGATGAAATATATTTCGATCTTACACTAAACTAAACAAATTTCTTTTTATTATATGCAAAAAAACGTTTGAAAATATATTTTAATCTAATACTAAATGAATAGCATGCCAAATAAAGATACACCGCAATGTCATTAACAACGTCAAGTTGGTTTCCCGTACTGTGCATGCTGGTATTTCACTGAAACAACGTAATGGGCTTAAATTCAAAACAGTGAAAATATCAAATTAATATTTTCACAGTTTCAAACAGTGAGAAAATCAGTTTATATTTCACAGATATATTTCTATAAACCACTGAAAAGCATGTAAGAAATCCAGATGTTATTTTCTGATTGGATAGGTCAGCTGTTGTAGCCCTTATCCTGACTTGAGCCTGAAAAAAAATTGCACATATGGACATCTGTGGTCCTCCTCACAACCATTAGTTAAACTTGGAAGCATTTTGTAACTTAAAACAGTAAACTATGTTTGGTAATACTTCTCTGTTTGAATTATGAATCTAAGGAAAGGTTTATTCATTATATTCAAATTATGAAATACACAACTTTTTGTATGGGTAGAAGTCAGTTGCTAGTAATGAGTAAGGATTATGAAAATTGCAATGAAATATATATTGATGTGATAAACTGAAGAAAATTGTAAATCATATGATTAACATAGACATGTTGATAAGTTTTATATAAGAAAAATAAAACAAGAATCATGTGTACATTAAATATATTTCAATATTTGAAACTGTACAAGATTAAGGGACATATGCTGCATGTTATGTATTGAAATAACAGTAAATTTGTAGTTTCCTGCAAGATAAAGTTTACATTTGTTTACACAAGGTATTATATGTTTACACAACAAGGGAAATAACTTGTGTATTATATGTTTATAGCAAGTTATTAGACAGATAAATATTTGCATTTGTTTACATAACAAGGGAAATAACTGGTGTATTATATGTTTACACAACAAGATAAATAACGGATGTATTATATGTTTACACAACAAGGGAAGTAACTGATGTATTATATGTTTATACAACAAGGGAAGTAACTGATGTATTATATGTTCACACAACAAGGGAAGTAACTGATGTATTATATGTTTACACAACAAGGGAAATAACTGATGTATTATATGTTTACACATCAAGGGAAGTAACTGTTGTATTATATGTTTACACAACAAGGGAAGTAACTGATGTATTGTATGTTTACACAACAAGGGTAGTAACTGTTGTATTATATGTTTACACAACAAGGGAAGTAACTGTTGTATTATATGTTTACACATCAAGGGAAGTAACTGATGTATTATATGTTTACACAACAAGGGAAGTAACTGATGTATTAAATGTTTACACATCAAGGGAAGTAACTGATGTATTATATGTTTACACAACAAGGGAAGTAACTGTTGTATTATATGTTTACACAACAAGGGAAGTAACTGTTGTATTATATGTTTACACAACAAGGGAAGTAACTGTTGTATTATATGTTTACACAACAAGGGAAGTAACTGTTGTATTATATGTTTACAGCAAGTTATCAGACAGATGTAGATGATCTACAAGGCAAATCTGACAGAGCTTTGATGAGAGAATTACCACAAGAAGAGAGAGAACAAATTCAGGTCGGTATTTTATCAGTTATCAAAATTTTTTATATGGTCCAGTATGAAATATTGTGTGCTGTTATTACCCCAGTCTCCCAGCCAAGGATTATATAACATTACCCAATCTCCAGTCAAGGGTTATATAATGTATCACAATCTCCCAGGCAAGGGTTATGTTATATAAACAATCTTCCAGGATCTCCCAGGGTTATATAGCAATCAACCATTTATACAAAGACATATAACCTATTAAATTTGTAATAACAAGTTTATACTTCTCTAATTGCTGTCTTTGATAAAAACAAAGGTTAACTATTTACAGCTGTTTACAGATTATATATAAATTATATAAAAATTCTATAATTGCTAATAAAAATAAACATAACAGACATGCAGAATTCTATGAAAAACTTAAAAACAGTTTGGCAACTCCATTCACATAAATATTGTTGATGCATTAACTAAACAAAGCATAAGCACATGTTGAATTAAACAGTATTTTGCTCACCAAATAATATAATTTATTGTTCAGAATATTTGGATCAAATCTTCACTCATTTAATATTCTCTCTGTATGTAGTTATTTTAAGGTCATTAGGAAATACACACCCAGTTTGACTATTTCACCACTAAATTTGTACAACAAACTTGTCCAGTTTGTAATTGGAATTGTCCATTGTTAATTAGTGAGGATTTGATATGACAATATTTAAATTAGGCAAGCAGTCATGTAGAGTCAAATCAGGGCATTCATGGCTTAGTGGTTTAGGTTGTTAACTTTAAACCACTTGCCCATCCCCACTATGGGTACAAATCCAGTCATTTTGAATTATTTCATGTGAAGATGCTATCTAGCTAACATAAGGAACATTGATGGTTCTACTTAGGTGGCAGTTTGTGCCTGATGTATAATGCATAGAGGGGCACTGAGGTCTTTCTCCACCACTGATACTGGAAAATCGTCTGTATTGGTGCTGTGTAAATGCCAACGAAGAATAAAGAAATAGACTGTATAAATGTACAGGTTAGCCTAGCTCTAACTATTGATATGAGTTTGAAATTATTACAGTTTATACATTCGAGTATATATATTTTATCAGGCACAATTTGAGATGTTCAGAATGGAGAAAGCCAAGTTAGATATGGAGGTAGCTAAGTGGGATGATAGTGGTAATGATATTATTGTCATGGCTAAACAGATGTGTATGATTATGATGGAGATGACAGATTTTACCAGGTATTATATCACCATTTACCACATACATGTGACACTTTTGCGACTCCGTAAAAATGGTATTGCATGGCCGTGCATATATTTTGACGAAACATCATTTGTGTTATATAAATATGGCTTTAAGATAGGCAAAATGTTAGCATTATTCTGTAGGCGCGTCATTGAAACATGGTTCTTTTTCACTGAAAACGTTCCTTATTTTTGGTATGTGATAAACAGATTATTAAATTTGTGTAAGTTCATTACTAAATTTTTTGAACTCATTGAATAAGATAATGTGCTCGCATAATATAATTTTATACGACTCGTTCAATAAATTCAGTATTGAACTAAAGCTCATTCAATATCCTCTATTGATGACATCCTCAATATATATGGTTATATATTCTCACAAGATAAATTACTTATTTGCTAAAATCTTTAGCTTATTAATCAAACCTTATATAAAAGCATTCAAATTATCATATCAAAGGTTATCATTATATCGTAAATTTTATAATAACCATTATTAGATCCTACTATAAGGTATTTTAGTTATCATCCGAGGTGAAAATTAAACAGGTAAAACTGAATTTTCCACCAGCTAGCTGATAAGAAATTCATCCTGAATAAAGGCTATCATTTTGAATCAGATTAATCTAGAATTCTAGTCATAAGAAGAAAAAATGTGTTAATTGTTTTGGAAAAAAGTATAGATGAACTATAAAAAATAATTCCTTAACTGAAATTTTCATTACAATGTCAATTAAATCAAATAAATATCCTTGAATACCATATAAAACTGTATATAACTGTTAAATTTTGTTACAGAGGAAGAGGTCCATTGAAAAGCACAATGGATGTAATTAATGCAGCAAAGAAAATTTCTGAAGCTGGAACCAAATTAGATAATCTTGCCACGAAAATTGCTGATCAGGTAACATAGCATATCATATTTTAGCATCGTGGTTGTGTAAAGATTACTTAGTTAACCCAAACCCAGTGCTAACATGTTGAGTATTCTATTTTTCCAGAGGATTGATTTCTTTGAAACTTTTCACATTTTATACTTTATAATTTATAACGTGAATATGTTTGATTTCATTTACAAGCTTGTTTCATGTATATACTATTTCCTATCTACTTTATTCTATTGAAATGTAAGGTGATGATTTGTGACAAGTTGCAGCTAAACATTTGTATGTTTAAGGGACTCCACTGAGGTTTTATGACATGATGTGACAGGAAATAATTTATCAAGATTAATGTTCCATTTGATATAGGTCTTTATCAATAACTTGTGTGAAAAGTTTCAGATCATTTCCCCTCTCAGTTTTTTCGGAATAATTATTCTACTTGTGAAAATGGTTAAAAAATGTAAAGCATTGCAAAGTTTTTTATTCAAACTGGGCTAATAGTAGCACAAAAATATGATTTTAAATTAGTATATTTCTTATAATTATCTTTTGCATGTTGGCTTTCAAACCTCAATAGAGTTCCTTTATAAGGGTATGAATTAAGTCAGTTACATTGAATGCTTACAGTAGGTCATGTAAGCTGTTCACTGTGGTAACAGAAGATGAGTGGTGTATTTTCTGATCATGTAACTTGGGTGTACCTCCACCAGTACAACAGCAAGATTGCCATATGACCTTGATGGTTGAATTATTTTAAAACCCATCAGCAAAAAAGAAAAGGAAAAAAAAGAGAAGAAATATGTTAATCAAATGATGTTTGTTATGTAAAGTTTTGTATGTTTTGTTTGTTGTAGTGCCCAGATTCAGCATCAAAGAAAGATTTAATGGCTTATCTACAGAGAATAGCTTTATATTGTCACCAGTTAAATATCACCAGTAAAGTAAAGGCTGATGTACAGAGTGTAGGAGGTGAACTTATTGTATCTGGGGTATGTTTATATTGTATACAGCAGAATTTTTACAAACTTGCCTTACAAATTTGCTCTGTTGGATGAAGACCAACTTTGAAACCTTTTTGTTCTCTTTGAATATTGTTATAATATGAAAAATAATGTCTTGTACTTCTTAATGTATCAGTTTTGATACAGATTGAAGAAGTGTACCTAAGTGAATTTGCCTTCATTAATTAAATTTGATATATTCATAAAATGTTCAAGATAACAAAAAACAAAGTAATGAAATATAAAAATTACAAAATGTTCTAAGAATATATATAAGTAGCTACGAATAGCAATGTATTCCTGAATTTTCTGTTGCAGGGTGGTTAAAGTCAATGAATAACATTAAATAACCTGCCACACACCTAAAAGTATCATTAAGTAACTTAACTGTTTGATATATTTAATGTGTGGAAACCATCCAAATATCTTACTGGTATGTGAGTTTAAGTTCTACCCTTCTGTATATAATGTAGATGTAGAGGCAAGTCCCCCTCCATGAAAAAAGTCAACATATGACCTATACTAGTTATACTTTAATTATTTCAGTTACCTATGACCTATACTAGTTATACTTGAATTATTTCAGTTACCTATGACCTATACTAGTTATTATTGAATTATTTCAGTTACCTATGACCTATACTAGTTATTATTGAATTATTTCAGTTACCTATGACCTATACTAGTTATACTTGAATTATTTCAGTTACCTATGACCTATACTAGTTATTATTGAATTATTTCAGTTACCTATGACCTATACTAGTTATACTTGAATTATTTCAGTTACCTATGACCTATACTAGTTATACTTGAATTATTTCAGTTACCTATGACCTATACTAGTTATACTTGAATTATTTCAGTTACCTATGACCTATACTAGTTATTATTGAATTATTTCAGTTACCTATGACCTATACTAGTTATTATTGAATTATTTCAGTTACCTATGACCTATACTAGTTATTATTAAATTATTTCAGTTACCTATGACCTATACTAGTTATTATTGAATTATTTCAGTTACCTATGACCTATACTAGTTATACTTGAATTATTTCAGTTACCTATGACCTATACTAGTTATTATTGAATTATTTCAGTTACCTATGACCTATACTAGTTATTATTGAATTATTTCAGTTACCTATGACCTATACTAGTTATTATTGAATTATTTCAGTTACCTATGACCTATACTAGTTATTATTGAATTATTTCAGTTACCTATGACCTATACTAGTTATTATTGAATTATTTCAGTTACCTATGACCTATACTAGTTATACTTGAATTATTTCAGTTACCTATGACCTAAACTAGTTATTATTGAATGATTTCAGTTGGACAGTGCTACATCATTGATACAGGCAGCTAAGAATTTAATGAATGCTGTTGTTCTTACAGTCAAGGCTTGCTATGTCGCATCTACAAAGGTTTTTATTACTTTATTGACTTTGAAATTTTTATTTATGTTTATTATAATTTCTACAAAAGAGATTTTAAATGGGAATTTAAAAAATTTGCCCTTCAAAATACCTGAATGTCAGCAGGGGAAAATAAAGGAATGTGAAAAAGAATTTTATCTCTTATTTTATAACATGTAAACATAGTAAACCCAGTATATCATTCTCTTTTTACTGTGAAGAAACATGTTCAAGCCAAGCTTATCTAATGTAATTTATAATTTCCCTTTCAGTATAAACAAGCTGGAAAAACAGTAAGTAAAATTGAATCATGTGATAATGTATTTTGTAGAGATATATTGTTCTTTTTGACATAGCAAAACTGACAGCAGTTGACCAAGATTTAAATACGAAACGTGTCACATTTTTTGTTTGATAATGAAAATAAACAATGTTGATGTTAGAGTTTAGAAACACTAGTCAGTTTTAGTTAGGAAGTAGTTATATGATGTAATGTTGAAGAACTAAGATTAAAAATGTCTGTGATTACATCTTGAACATTTCTACATACATGTATCATTATTTTATCTATTTATAGAATATAGTAGCTTGGAAGATGAAGCCCCCGGAGAAGAAACCATTGGTGAGGAGAGAGGATCCGATAGAGTTCCGTGGCCGAATCAGCAAGAGCGCTGGCAAGAAGAGAATTGAACCAATCAAAGCATTGAATGAATTCCAGGAAGTAGACATGGATAGCTTTTGCTGATTTATAGTGCTCTGATAGTAGTGAATAGTTCTTTTGTTTAAAATGCAAGTATTTGTATTGAAAGATGGTTGCTTAGCAACATAATTGTCATGTGTTGAAGAAAAGTACACAATAACTTATACTTACTATAGACCAGACATTGTCTACTCAAGAGAAAGGAAAGATAATATTTCTGACTTTCTCTATAAAATTTAAATAAACAGTTAAAGTTTGTTACCATGGAAATGTATTGGACATTCTAGCCAGGTAGCATTTTTTTAGCGGACATGAAAGAAAAAAAACTGAAACAAATTTAAAGAGATCTGATATTGGTTTAGGGTGTTTGTAAGATAAATCATTTTAGCATATCATATTTATTGAAAGCATGACTTCATTCTATATATTTCTTTAATCATTTCTTAAAGTATGTAAATAATTTCATATATTTTTGTGCAAGCATTTATCATATGGTGATAATAGTATCTGTTAGAACACACAAATGTACATACAAATGCAATAACTTTTTTTATGTATTTTTACTAACAGAATTTTTTTACATTTGAAAACACCACCAAAAAAATTTTGTGATTGAATCAAAATGATTTCAGTAGTTAAATTAATATTTCTAATATAGTTTTTGTATCACATGACATCACTTGGTTTCTTTGAAATAAAATCAAATCATCATGCATTCTTTACGTAATTATTAAATTTAAATTATACAACAATTATGTTACATCAGCATCATTTGTTTTGATGGTTTGCACCTGAATCTGAATTTACAGGAAAAATGTAATAATATAATATTGACAATTGGTCAAGTAAAGATATAAAATGTTGACAGATTAAAAAGAATGCTGGTACTAAAATCTCTGACATATCACAACACTATATTTTGTCTAACACAGATCTTGTTTGAATAATTGGTGATTAAAAAAGAATCTTGACATTGGATTTTATTTTATATACAAATGTATGAAATTTGCTCTGAAAATGTTACTAAGCGTGTTAAATTGATTTGTAAATGTTCAATTTGAAATAATAATTTGCCGGATCAAAAACATTTTATAACATAATATAATTTCTTTTTTATTGAACTTAACAAATGTGTATGTGATGTGATAAATACACAACTTATATTGAAAACAATATTACAATATTAATTGTAAGTTCTTCTAATAGTGTGAGAATACACAGATACTTGTGTAACATATGATTTTATCATATTTTTTCTTCTATTAACATGTGTAACATATGATTTTATCATATATTTTTTCTTCTATTAACATAGACATTTAAGAATTTACAACAATATCATTCCACACTGGGTTGTCTAAAGGCTTAAGAAAGGAAGCCCAACTTCTTTATCGTAACTGATACAGTTTGTGTACATCTATAGTTGCTTTTGTGCCACTAAACAATTACAGTTTCTATATTTTCTGTTAATAAATGTTGATCTAAGACATATTTATATGTTTTATGAAATAGAACACCTGTCATGTCAGTCTGTTTCTATATTGTGTGTATTTTGGGGTTGTAATTATTGTGTCGATTTTTTTTTACATAAACAATTATTTTTACCATGTTTATATTATATATAGTATACAAGTTTATGCTTCCAAGTTGTGACACATTTGTTTTATACACATTTGTTTTGTTATGTAAATGTTTCATACATATTTTTAGCATTAGTTTCTGATTTTTAGGCGCTTTAGTGAAATAGCTCGGTAATCAGTCTGCTATTTTCAAATAGAAAGTGGAAATATTTAGCCTAAATGAATTGTTTAATTACCTCCCTTTAGCAAGTTTCAGCTATTTTTTTAAGTTTGGAAAGATGACAAGTACTCTTGAATTATCTTGAAAGTAATATATAGCATTGAATATTTTTGAATAATTTCTCTTGTTTAGACAAGAAAGGTAACTCTTTTTGACCTAAAAGTTTTGAAAATGTTTGGGTTTTCTCCCATTAATCTTGATAAGTTAGTATAAGATAATTCAATTTTCTCTCATAAACGAGAATCTCAGAGCTTGACTTAAATATGGTTACTAAGGTAATAATAATTAACTTTAAGTTAGTGAAATTTTGACATTTCTGTTAATCTAACTGATATTGTGTTGATAATTTTTTAATACATCTCACTTTATTAAATGTATACAATATTTGAACTTATTAGCTCGACTATACGAAGTATATGGAGAGCTGTCCTACTCGCCCTGGCGTCGGCGTCCGCGTCCAGATTTTAGATTAAAGTTTTGGTGCAGTAAAATATTTTTCATTATAACTTTGTCATTTCTTAAGGTATCAACTTCAAACTTCAAATATATGTTCCTTATCATCAACCACATCTTATGTGACAAGATTCATAACTCTAGCACCAATATTTTTAGATTTATCTCCCCTTGAACTTAGAATTTTCCTTAAAAAATACTATTTTTTACTGTTACTTCTTTATTTCTTAAGGGATCAACCTCATACTTCAAATATATGTACCTTATCATCATCCCCATCTTATGTGACAAGGTTCATAACTCTAGCACCAATATTTTCAGATTTATCTCCCCTTGAACTTAGAATTTTCCTCAAAAAATGCTATTTCTTACTGTTTCTTCTTTATTTCTTAAGGGATCAACCTCATACTTCAAATTTATTTACGTTATCATCATCCCCATCCTATGTGACAAGGTTCATAACTGTAGCACCAATATTTTTCAGATTTATCTCCCTTTGAACTTAGAATTTTCCATAAAAAATATTATTTTTTGCTGTTACTTATTTATTTCTAAAGGGATCAACTTCATACTTCAAATATATTTACGTTATCATCATCCACATCTTATGTTACAAGGTTCATAACTCTAGCACCAATATTGCAAGAATTATCTCCCCATAAACTTAGATTTTTTTACTAGAAAAATGTTATTTTTTATTATAACTTTTTTATTTTTAAAGGTATCTACCTCAAACTTCAAATACTTATTCCTTATCATCAATTACATTTTATGTGACAATGTTCATAACTCTTGAAGCAATATTTACAGATTTTTCTCTCTTTGAACTTAGGATTTTCTTTAAGAAATATAATAACTTCTTTACTTTTTAAGGTGTCTACTTCAAACTTCAAATATATATTTCTTATCATTACACAAATGTTGTGTGACAAGGTCCATAACTCTAGCATGACTATTTCAAGAATTATTCCCCTTGATCTTGGAATTTATGTTAACAAATGTTATTTTTTTAAATAACTTAATACATAATTATACATAATTGATTTTTCTTTCGTATTTTGTCCTCCTTACTGCGTCCAGTATTTTATTAGTCGAGCTTCGCTGTCTCCTATGACAGCTCTTGTTTTTGTAGCATTGGTTGTGATTAACAATTTATATAATTATTCTTTTTCATTGGATTTCATAAATATATTTAGAAGATTTTATTGTTGTTTTCTTGCTTGTTTTACACTATACAGTAAGGGTCTTCATACAAGTATTTGTAATAATGAACTTGTCAGAGATTGCTGATCTTGGTGTGATAACTGTGTATATCCCAGAACCCAGGAACAGTGTAATTGAATGGACCGATAAAAATATAGTTTATTATATTGAAGAAAAAAATGATTTAGCGCAAACAACATATTAGACATTCTATTTTAACACTCGTTACAGTAAATCTACTTTTTTATATCATTTGTGAGAATGACAACCTGTCTTCCGTATTGTAAGAGATATTTGTGTTTCGTAGATATTAATAAGTCCAATAAAACATTGTTTTTGACAGACATTTGCCGAACCACTAGTGTCATATAACACGAAATGGGAGCAGATAAAGTTACAGGCAATTCTCGTGAGTTAAGCAGTGTTATCTTGGTGCTTCATACACGAAATCGTCGTTCCCGCATGAAATAGAGGATATTTGTTTGTTTGTGTGTAAGATGAAATTTTATTTCATCAGTGGGCTTTAAAAAACAGTATTCTAACGAGTGGCTTGGCCAGGAGTGAGAAAACTGTTTTTAAAGTTCACGAGATAAAATAAAATTACATCTTACACAACAAACAAATTTTCTTTTTATTTTATGCTTAAAAACAAGTTAAAACGAAATTTCCTTGATATTAACTTTAATATTATTTTTTCCCCCACTGGTAGCCTCTATTATGTACATGTATTAGTCGAATTTGTCATAAACTACAAGAAGTCTTGGGCTGAAAAATAAGTTCGACAATCAACGTTTAATGGCGATGATATTCATTTTATTAAAAAAATATGAATGATCGCTTGTTTTGATAATAAAAACAAACAATTATAGTAGGAGAAAAACATCCATCCATATTTCTGTTACTTACTGCGAATTTATATTAGCCCTGGCTTTGTTAAATTTAAGCGGCGCCATTTTTAAAAGTTGTGTATTTCACGGGAGGAAAATAACTGTTTGATTCAGAGGGATATCATTTGAATTTGTTAGTTATACACCTTTTTAAAGAAAGAAAACTTATTTGAGGATTGTAACAGACAATAGATATGTGTTGACAGAAGTGTAAACATTCAAAAAGCGGTTAGGAAATGGGAAAACTTGTAAAGTTGAAAGGCTGCCTAACGAACACTGGGTTGTTTACTTATTCTTCGGGCTGATGGCTGTCATTGCTTTTCAAGTTTTCATAAAGCATGCGGCAGTTATTGCTCGTAGGATACCTAAATATGCCCAAATGTCATCAAGAGCAGTTTTGCATGTGGAAGGAATGTATTTTTCAGACTAAAATGAAACAAAAAATAAGAGATGATATTTAGTGATTGTTAATTTGAATGAATAGAAGTAAGTTTTCTTCTTTTATTACTTTTGACATTTAAGTTATTTATAAATTTCAGCTGTGCTTTTCTCTGGACAGCCTGACATTGTCAGAATTGTCAGCAAAAATAAAATTGAGGTACCTCATGGGGATAATCTTAAGAAAGTAGTTTCGTCATTTTATATTTTGATAATTTTCACTGTGAAATTATCAAATATAATTTTCACTGATAAATCAGTAATCCACTGAAAAGCATAAAATAAATAATGGTAATTATAATGCCTTAACATCACTGTATGAATGTGCCGTAACACGATAATTATGATGAGATAGATTACAGCTCTTATATACCACAGATGCTCATTGAATTCTTTTATTATCCAAGTGATTTTCATTAATTTTATAAGGAACGATCCATGAAAAGGTGGCGTTTCGTGGGCATGTACAATGTCAATGCGACTAGAAGCTTTGCCCAAAATATTATTGAGTTAAATAATATATTTCACGTTTACGTTCATTTTGATGTGATGTTAGGACATTAATATTTTGTTAAGCGAAAGAAAGTATATATCATACTGCATATTAATATAGGTTTATATTACGATATACGACTCTAGTTATCATCACTTCAAACGGTTATTATCAAAAATATCAACTTGAGAACGGTATAACAATGTTTATAAATTATAGTTTTCTTTGATAGTTATATTCTGTACACATCTTACAGTGGGATAAGCTAGTTTCATAACTGTAAAAACAAATAATTGTCGAGTGATTTTATGTAAAAGTAATTTATTCACCTGTTATACAAGCTATTTAATTAAAATTATATAAAATTATAGTAATTTATTACATTTTGAACTCTACTACAAATGTACTGTCCTATAATAGGTTTTTTCATACTTCATGTAAAAGATAAACATATAACTGATGGAGAAAGATATTGGAAAATGCTGTATTGTACGACTTGAAGTAGTGTTCGCCAAGTAAAAAATACGGCGTATATTGTATCAGATTTTTTCGCAGCATACCAATTCGGCCATAAAACGATAAAACGAGTGGGGACAATATTTCCTGACTCGTCAGATAAAGCTATATCCGTCGTGTATCACACGTGACCACGTGACCCGTGTAACTGTAAACAATAATGTCATATTTTTTTCTGGCCGGAAATATATCATTTTCCCACTGAGTATTATTCTTGAATGTAAAGTTATAAAAGATAAGACAGTTCATTTATTAACATTGACTTTATTGATTGACAAATGATACTTGTAGGGCAGGAAACATTATTGTTTTACAACAAAGTTGAAATCGGGTTAAATGGAATGGTGAAATGGAGTAATGCGAGGTAATGCCTGGGAGAAATCACTAGAAAACGAACTTTAAACGAACATTTCACAAAGCAATCAACGTAAGTGTAACATGGAACGAATATTGAGTTTTTTGTATTTACATTTTGAACGGCGTTGATTAAAAAAAAACATCGGTGATTTTTAAAAAGCAAATTGCATCCTATTTCGATAATGCAATTAAGTACTAATATTATTTCGACGGTTACAGTTACAAGAAGTAAATTGACTTTTTCTGAATGACGTAATAATTTCTTTATGTACCTTTCACATTTAAACGCGTAACACTGAGCTGTCATGGCGTTGTTGCCAGAGGGCGGTGAGGTCACAAGAAAAAAAAATGTTTTCGTCACGGCATCTTCGCGGCGACATGTGGCTACAGAACTACGATCTCGGTCCTAGGAAGTTTGTTGGTTATTGTCTGCGATCGTTCGGCGTTTCCATTGTGTGCACTGTGACCACATTTAAGCGCGGTTCTGCAATATTCCCCATGTGACAACCCAGTCCTACGCATAAACCCTTCCAGCCTGCTGAATCTCA